GCCGTGACTCCAGGATCCGCACGGTACTTGATCCAAGCATTATATTCGTCCATAGCGCATAAAACTAAACATCCAGTTCCTTGTCAGGAATGGCGTATGCGCCAGGACCGTCAGGCATTGCTTACAGAGGTTCAAAGTCGTAACGAAGAACAAGCTTATTGTAACCCATACCGCAACTTTGCTCCGTCTTCTCCTCGCCCATAGCCCCTCAATAACCCGTAGGAACATGCTGAGATACCAGCCTGAGATTACAGAAAGGTCAAAATCGGATCTGCTGGGAATTCTATTGTACTGACCATACATTAACATGCTCACTGCGAATCCCTATGAGTAAAAATATGATCTCGTTCAGCCCCAAAAGAAAAAAAGAAAAAAGCTGGCTTAAGCTTGAAACCCGTTCTTGGAGGAGTAGCAAGCTACCCACCAGCAAATGGGCTGTATCGAGCGGTAAGTCGCCCGCCATGATAGAAAATATCGTTCTGTCTTGTGAAAGGGTGTCAGAACGGATGACGGTGACAAAAACAGAGAGGCGAGAGATTCCATCAACTTATATGCAGGAATGCGGATTAAAACCGGCTTCAATGTCATTGTGGCGTCTAGTACAACACGAGGCGGGTCTTTGCGGCCCTTGGCGGTAACAGAAAAGAAAAATCACCCTTGAAGCCACCGGGTCGATAAAGGGGGCATTTACACATCAACTCCACCAGCATATTGGTACAGAGATGGAACCCTCTATTTATAAGCGTTCATTTCCGTCACTCAAAGACCCACTTGGACGATGGGGTTCGAGACTCCGCTTAAGCTTGATCCACCACTCCAATTCGGCACCATTGTGAAAGATGCTTGGACACACATCGCGCTGGGTGTTGAGTGTCGACATCGATAATGTACATAGTTGAACTTGCGATCCATCCAATGCAATGGAAGGGTCGTCTCGTTACCGGGTGGCATCTGTGCCTCCCCCCTGGGGCATTCAAAAGCCCCAGAGGCTCATTTGTAAAAATATTCAACAGGGAGGATATATGGTACACACACGTGAGATCGCGAAATAGAACCGAGAACATGAGCGGGGAAAGGGATATGAGGAGGAGGAGGATCAATCGATCCTAAACCGCGTCCTCCCCAGTGGGGGCCGCTGCGAAGTCAGCATCTGCTTCATCCTTGCTCAGGCCTCCAAGCGGGGTCCCGCCGAATCTTCCACTGCCACGCACACCGTTTGCGCTGCCAATTGAAGCCGATTGACGCGATTCGGCGGTGTGAGCCTCCTTCGGAACGGCAGGAGTCGATACCAAAGGTTCTGAAGGAGATAGCGCTTCAACGGGGCTGCTGCTGACCTGGAGGGGATCTCCCACGGGCGCAACTTGCGGGACGGTGGTCGCCGTGTTCACGGTCACCGGGACCGGGGGGTGGCTGAACGAATCCTCCGAGAGTCGTTTCCCAGGAGGCGTGGTCGTGATACGAAGTAGAGCCGTATACGCTGAAAAATTTAGAGAGTCGAATCAGCAAGACGAGCGCTCTAAGACAGAATATGACTGTGCCCACGTTGACGACAAACAGGACAGAACCATCCCTTGGCCTTGCGTTTTCTCCTCCTCTCTGGGGCCGGCCCGGGTGTGGCGATGTTTGATACTGTGACCATCGCAGCTGCAGTCTCAGCAGCCGTGACAGCTGTAGGATCAGCCGGTGCAGTCGCGGCAGTTGTATCGTTGGCACCTGCCGTGGTTGTTGTGGGATCCGCCTCGTGCGTCAGAACTCCGCCTGCACCAAACTCGACCATGTTCACCGCGCATTCTCTGCACGCCACGAGATGCCTACAAGGCAAAAGCACGACCTCCCTTGGACTCGAAAGACACAAGACGCACTCGGTGGCTTGGCCTTGCGTAGCGGTCGTGTCGATTATGGGAGATGTTGGCGGATACGTGTTAGGAGACACCGGTTCGGGTTGTGCCGTTTGGCCGGCGTTTGCGTTAGTCGTGGATGATGCGAGGCCGTAGATCTCTTGGAGACGGAATGTGTGAGGGCCAAGCAACGCTTCGCGTTTAACCACCTTAACGACCCAATGCGTCGTTGGGGCCGATCCGATCGCGGCTTCTTCGTCAGCGGGCGAAGTGATCGCCGGCGCGGTCATGCCAATTTGGACGATGTGCAGGTAAGTCATCTGGGCGTTTCGAGATGCTAGGGGTTTACCTAAGAAGATCAATCAGCCTTAGCCCTGTTTGTGAATGTTCATTGTATTTCGATTTACCATCTTCGTCCAACGCCTCAATGCGAATCATGACCTTCACACCACCTTCTTCAGCAGCCGCCTTTCCAGTCATGGCAGCCTGAGTGACAGGATGCTGCGAGTTCGTGTCGTCATCACCCTCAGCTGGGACGGGAGCAGCCTCTGCTGCATCGGTGTCGACAACGTGCAGGGATGGTCCGACAGCAGCAGGTGAATGCAACGTCTTGCGTCGGAAACCGAAAGCTGAGAACCTTTTGTTTCGACTGACCGCTGTCGTATTCGAAGACGCTGTTGCCGCGGTCTGTGGACGAGCGGTTGGATGAGCGAGGGTTGCGCTGCTATCGCCGGTCTGCGGTCTGTTATCAATGAGATGCTGGGACTCTACATCCTTGCTCGTCGAGTTATTCACATTCGACGTATCGAGTTTAGATAGTTCCAGGATCGCCCCATCGTCCAATCGCAAGGACTTCCCAAACCCGCCATCACACGTCTGGGTGAATAGCACGGTAGGGGTGAGATTGTGCGGATTTTCGTCGGAAGCTGGCGGGGCTGCGCTAGGAATCAACGCGTGTACGGAGATCGAACACTGGGCAGCATCGGCGTCATAATCGAACTCAATGCCGTGTGTTTGACTTGTAGGATCTTCGGTGAGAGTCGACGAGAGTGGTGTGAGTTTGATGGATGGTCTTTTGATATTGACTAGAGCTTGAAGCGTTGTTGTCGGCACGACATCACTGGTCTGAAGATGATGAATGAGGGTAAGGGCACGCCGAAGCTGCGGATCGCTTGGCGAGCGTTAATATAACTGACCTCTTCCTTGCTTCTCCTGATCCACTCTTTGACCACCTCGGGTGTAAGTTCATCCTCTTTCTCGGAGGTAGTATGCTCTGTCGCCCAAGATGATGTCCAATCAGGCGCTGGGTTCCCGCCAACGCCCACGGGAGGTCCGAAGAGCGTATCGACCTTGTTCTTCCCACCATCGGCTGCAACTATGGGCGGCATAGTCAAGACGTTGACAACCTGATCGCGAGTGGTCGTAGTGGTAGGTAAGCCTCTATTGGGAGGACGTGGGACGAACTGAGGCATGGTTAATCGTCGGGTCCGATTCCATGGGCGATCTTGGTTGGAATCTACAATTGGTCGAAACGTCAATCCCCCAAACAGAAGGAACATGGCACAGGGATTGCCATCATGGAATTCAGTTCCAGCACTATTTAGCTTGTGAGTGCAACTACGTACACCAATTACTGAGGCTCATTTTGTGTGACTGCCGGAGATGGGGGTGGATGTGATGGCGGGCAAGGTGGGAGAGTGGTGATATTATATGACAGTTCCGCGGGGTACGAACGGCCTGCCCCTCTCCGTACGTTCCGCTCCCTTACTTATAACATGCGAAGGCTTCACGTCACGCAATATTTCAATCACAAGGCTATGATCTACGGGCTCCAATCATCCCCGACTCGCATCCGGACGCCGACCAGTCCGTATATTGCAGGTGTATATTTGTAAACTTCCGGCGCAGTCGAGGCTGCAATAGCAATGCTTGAGGCAATTAGGTAGATCATCAGGGATCCTTATCTTCTGGTTCAAATGCAGTGTGCTAGTACCCATCTCGCTTCACTATTCATGTCACATCTTGCGCAATGAGCTTCCTTCGTGCAAGCTGTGAAGTATTCAAATCACACGAGGAATTGCAACTGTGTTTAGCTTCAAGACAGGTGTGTTCAGAAAATCAGGGGGCGATTAGTTAGGGAAGCAGAATGCATGGGGTCGAACAGGTCGAACAGAAGCGCTGGCGAAGGTGTCCACCTCCTATCTAGACACGGGATGCGTGTCGCACGGGAAGACGCGTTCAGGATGCCGCCGCAGCCGTTGCTGTAAGGTTCCCTAGATAAGATTCTAGCGAAATATTGGAGTCGCATGTCAGCAGAATGCACTCTTAAAGTTTGGTTGGTTTACTGGTGGGGCTCGAACGCAAGTCCGATGGGCCAGTGGACGCAGGACCCAGTGAAGAACGCCCCGATTGCTGCGAAACCGAGGGCCGAACTCAGGTACCGAGGCGAAGGCAAAAGCGAAGGCGCAGAAGGCCGCGAACGAGGATAAGATGGTGATAATAATAGTCGAGAACGTTAGCATATGGGTTTTTGCCACGGTGGATTTTCTAGTATTGTTTTGGATGTTGCATCTCCCCAGTCTCTCCCCCGGTTTTCTCCATTAAATCATATCCAATCAAGTTCAAATCTTTTTGAGCGCTTGCAAGAAGTAGTTCTCGAAAGTTTCTGACTCACTCTAAATACGGAAATGGTTATTCTCAACTCTTCTGACTATCAAGTGCCTGTCTTGGTTACAGCTTGTACATTTATGCTCTTCTTGGAGAGCTTGGAACCGCTGGTTGTTCTTTGCCCACACATGCTATATACTGCCCCAATTGTCCCAGGGTTCTGATGGACTAC